GCCCGAGACAAGACCTGCGGGGAGACGCTTCCCCGCGAGGGTCGAGCAAGCTGTAGATCGCCGAGGCAGGGCGCCGCCACCGAAGCTGGCTCGCGGTCGCGAAGCTGGCTCGCGGTCGCGAGCTGTCGCGAGCTGTCTCGCGGTCGCGAACTGTGAGCGAGTGTGCTCGAGTGGGCCCGCGGCGGCGCCCGTGTCTCGCGGCCAATGCTATCGCCGCCGGTGTCACCGTTGCCCCTACTGCGCCGCCCCCTTCCAGGGGCAGCGGGGGGCGCGGGGCGCAGGGGGGGGGCGCAGGCGAGCGCTCTTGCGATGGGGGAACATGCGTGGCGCTCGGCACCTTTCGAGGTCGCATAATTCTGCGACGGGGGAACCTGGCGCCAAGCACCTCGGCGGATTGTTTTCCCTCGTGTCGGGGGCGCCCGGCGGTGAGCGCCCGCTTGGGTCTCTCCCCGCTGCGTTTTCTGTCTCCGAAGCGACGGGGGAATCCGACGTTGAAGTGATTTCGCCGGGGAAACCTAGCGCCGGGGCAACTCGGCCTGCTGCGACGCGCCGCGACGTTCGTGCCGCGCTGTACCCGCAGCGACACCTCGTGTCTACACGGCGTAGCAAAATCCTTGTCGGGGTAGCGCCTGGGCAGGAAGTGTTGATGGGCGCGAGCTTGCGCGACTCGTGGTAAGTTCCGGTAATGCAGCACTTGGCGTTGTAGTTTGCCGCGGCGCTCGCCGCTCTTGCCTGCTGAGCGGGCGTCAAAAGCCCCGCTCTCGGTGGTCTGGCCCAGGCACTTTCGCAGCGCATTTTAAGGAGTCGCGCGCTCGGCAGCCGCGCGGCCAGCATTGGCGTCTGGCTGAGGATCGAGGCCCCAGCATCCTACGTCAGGCACTCCCGCGCCCGCTCCTGACGAGGCGCCGCCGCCGGGGCCCTGGGGCCAGCGGCAGAATTCTAGCGGGGGGCAGGCGCGCCTGACCCTGAGACCTCCCAGAAAGCAGGGCGCAGAGGCCCAGCGACGGCATTCTGCATCGGGGAAACCTGACGTGGCGAGGCTGGTTCTGCATATCTCGAGCGCCTCGGGTTCGCCCTTGGTTATGTTCCTCGGGGTCGCATGCTTACTGTTGGGCCTTTCCGTATCCCCATTATTTCGCATCTCCCGTCGTCTCTTTTATGCGGCTGGATGTGCTTTGACATGTTGGTTTGCCCATGCATGTGTTTCGGGCCATGGGTTTCGCCAGTTTGACTGCGCCCTTGTCCTGTCCCACTTCTACGCGCGCTCCCCCTCCGTGATTCCTCGTCGCCCGGTTATTCCGCGGGGGAGGGGCAACTGCCGGAGGAAGACGCGCTGCTTCTCGAACATCGCAAAGTTCCTGCACCCCCCGCTGGGCGCGGCCGCCCCGCTTTCGGGCGGGGCGTCTTCTGGCGCTCGCGCTTTCATCCCAGACAATTTGCACCCGTTTTCGGTGTTGGGCCCTGGCTGTTCTTATCCCGTGTCTCTTCTTGGGTGAGGCCACGGGGCGAGCCTGGCCCGAGAGCCCCTTGTTTGGGGTCCTGAGGCGGGGGCCGCGCTTCGCCCTTCGCTCTTGCCGCGCGTGCTCTCGACGGCATCCCCGCCAGGGCTTCGGGGGATCGTGGGTCCGCAGCGGTCCCGCTGCGCCCGCCCGCCCTCGCCCGCTCCCCTGCCTGCTCCTGCCGCTGCTCGCGCGCTTGCGCGGGGCGTGGTGGGGCCGCGGCGCTTGTGCCCGACCGACAGTCATGAGGGGGGGCGCGGCGAGGCCGCCGCCGTTGTTGCCGACTTCGCGAGGGGCGACCGCAAACATTGTCTTTTTTCTGCTCGCGGCGTCTTCGCGAGTCGCGGCTGGGCGCGTGGCCGACCGACTGATGGGCACTATGCCGCCTTCATAGGCGAGCAAGGGGATTTTGCTAAGGGAAGCTCGGCACAATCGCTGTCATTTCCCATTGCGAATTTACCATGTGGCGGACCACGTTGGCAACCATGCTTTAGAGACGCGGGCATCGTGGACGCGACGCCGTGTAGGTCACGCACATGCCGGGAAGGCGAGTAGAGCCATCCTTTGTTGCGCTGGCAGTTTTGCTCTAGAGTTCGGAGCTTCAGCGAGTTCCCTCATTTATTTTTCCACAGATACGCCAGTCTTCGTGGGCACGGAAAGCACCCGCATTCACGGCTGTCGCAGCACATTCGGGGCCGAAGCAGTGGCATTCGACGAACGCCTAGAGGCGTTCCTGGCCATGTGCAAGTAAACGTCTTTCTTAAATAAGCTCCTTGTTGGGCACGATACGTGAGAAAGGTGTGCCGACATACTCGTGCGGATGGGATGCGAACCTTGCCCCAGGGGTCCAAGCGCTCCACGGGAAAGACTTCATTAACATCATCGTACCATAACGACTTGTTTGTTTATACATTTAGGTTATCCGGGCTTCTCCGTCTAAGTGGCGTTGGTGTTCTCCGTCATGTTGCGAAAGAGGACGGGTTCATGATGATACTGATGATGCTGGTGATGTCAACACGGTGGAGAAGTAGGAGGAGGATGAGGACTAGAAGGGGGAATACGAATTGGTGGAATGTTGGACGTGGGAGTGGATAAGGACGGTTCTAATGATGGCGGTGATGATGCGGATGTGATGTTGATGACAGGTGCAGTCGTTGTTGTTGATGATGGTGGTGATGGTGTTTATAGTGATGTGGATGTTGTTGTACATGGTGATGACGCTGGTGATCGTGATGATGATGGAGACGATGATGATGATGATTCTGCTGATGATGATGGTGATGATGATGGTGGGGACGGCGATACTGATAATGATGGTGATGGTGATGAAGAGGAAGGAGGGGCGGCCACGGCAGAAAACGACGAATTGAGGGCTGAAGGAGGGCGAAGGATGCGTCGGCGGAGTAAACGAGCGAGCGGGAACAGATTCCCATCCTGTCGTCCTCGGACGATTCATGCTGGAGACCTCTTTTTATCCGTCTCGAAAGCGTTCGCCCCGACGCCCTGAACACTTTCTGACGCGGCGCGCGTGAAGAGGGGGGAGGAGGAGGACGAGGAGGCTGACGAGGAGGAGGAAGAGGAGGAAGAGGAAGAGGAAGAGGAAGAGGAAGAGGAAGAGGATGATGATGATGATGATGATGATGATGATGATGATGATGATGATGATGATGATGATGATGATGATGATGATGATGATGCTGATGATGATGATGAATGATGATGATGATGATGATGATGATGATGATGATGATGATGATGATGATGATGATGATGATGATGATGATGATGATGATGATGATTGATGATGATGATGATGATGATGATGATGATGATGATATGTGATGATGATGATGATGATGATGATGATGATGATGATGATGATGATGATGATGATATATGATGATGATGATGATGATGATGATGATGATGATGATGATGATGATGATGATGATGATGATTGATGATGATGATGATGATATGTGATGATGATGATGATGATGGATGATGATGATGATGATGATGATGATGATGATGATGATGATGATGATGATGATGATGATATGATGATGATGATGATATGATGATGATGAGATGATGATGATGATGATGATGATGATGATGATGATGAATGATGATGATGATGATTGATGATGATGATGAATGATGATGATGATGATGATGATGATATGATGATGATGATGATGATGATGATTGCTGCTGATGATGATGATGATGATGATGATGATGATGCTGATGATGATGATGATGATGCTGAAAGGAGGAGGAGGAGAGAGGAGGAGGAGGAGGAGGAGGAGGAGGAGGAGGAGGGGGAGAAGGAGCTGGAGGAGGAGGAGGAGGAGCTGGAGGAGGAGGATCTTGAGGAAAAGGAGGAGGCGGAGGAGCAGGAGGAGGAAGAGGGGAGAAATGGGGAGAGGCGACCCACGACATTGTGCTGTGTGCGTTTGTTCTTCTCACGTTCCTATCCTTCCTCCTTCCACCTGCAGGTGAGTGGACGCACGAGCGAGAAAACAACAACATAACGAGAAAGATAACAAACGCAATAACAGCAACAACAGGAGGGGACGCAGGAATCAGGAGAGGGGAGCGAGAAAGGAGGGACAGCGGTTTGAAGTGGAGAGCCAGAAGTTGGAGGATGTAGAGTAGAGAAGTCGGAGCAACGATTGGGGAGGGCGAGTAATGGGAGGAATGTGAAGCATACTTGAAACGCATCGAGGTTGTGGAAGACAGACATGGCGATGCGTTCCTATCGTGTCGAGACGTTTGCCTGAGTTGCGCTAGAACCTGAACGCGCGAAGTGCGCGCGTGGTTTCCGTAATTCTCGCGGGAGGGAGGAGGACAACGGTGGGCGGAGGAGTGCATGGAGTCGAGGCGGGCTGGGCGTTGCAAGGCCAGGCGGGCCGGCACGAGGCGTGGATGGGATGGAGAGGCACTTGGGATGAGGTGGGCGAGCAGGGGCGAGACGTGGAGCGGGGGATTTCGGTGGCAACGAAAGGGGGGGATGGGCTCAGTGGGGAATGCACCTCACCGCCCACCAAACCACCCCAACCCAACCCGAAGGCTCAGATTTACCCTCGATTTCTAGTAGGGGGGGTCGGGAAACATCGAGAAAACACAGGTGGAACCCTTACCCCCCCCAACCCGAAATTCGGGTCTTCGGGTTGGGTTGGGGTGGTCTGGTAGGTAGTCAGTGGGGAATGCACCGACCCCAAATCGCCCATTCATCGCCGACAGGGGCCCCGATGGTCCACCCCGCCCAGGAGCGTGCGGATTCGCTATCGGGGGCCCATCGCCAATGCGTCGGCTCCGTTCCGCATGCTTCGGGTCAGTGTTCCCCCCCCCCCCCCGAGCCAGTCCCCCTTTACGGTCCCCCTCCGGAGCGGGAGAGGGCGAGGCGGGGCGAGTGGAGCTGAGCCGCTGCGTTCGGTGCACGCGCCCGGCGTCGTGGGCTAGCGCGGGCCCCGCCGCGGCGGCGCGCGCCAGGTGGTCGAGCGGCCCCGCCTCGCTTGCACGCGCCGCAACAGCGGCGACGCGGCAGCCGAACCGGAAGAGAAGGCCCTGTACGCGCCGGTGGAGAGGCAGGAACCGACGGACCCCGCGCGCGCGCCGCCCCGGGGGGGTCGTGGGCGAAAGGCATCTCCGTGTACTTGCGGTCTCCACCGCCTGATCCCTGGGCTTCGCCCTCTCCTGGCCGCGTGAGGCCCCGCCTTCTTCCGCCTTTTCTCTGTCAATCAAAGCTGTGCGCGTCCCGCGTAGCTTTCAGCGGAAGAGGTTCGCTCTCGCCCTGCAGATCAAAAAAGTATTTGCGGTCTCGCAGGCCGGGCCCCTGGGCCGCGGCCCCGCGGGTGCGGGGCGCTTTTTCGCGGACGCCCCGCGCGGAACCTCTCCGTGCGATTGCGCATCCGCGGGGTCGCGCCTGGGAGTGCAGACCGCGAGGGCGCGGATACGGACGTGTTCGCCGTTCGTGAGGAGATGCAGGAGCCGACGGGCCCCGCGCGCGCGCCGCACCCGGGTAGGGCGGGGGCCTGGGGCGCCCACGGCGGGGGACAGCCGATATATTTGGGGGTCGCCAATTTGGGGGTGTCAGGGAGGGTTTTCCTTCACTATTGCTGATGGAATGCGCCGCTATTTATTTTCGTCCCACTTCTGGCCCACGAGTTCCCGCTAACCGCGAAGGGTCTTCAGTGCTGCACTTCACCCTCCTCGAAGCTCTCGGCTGGCAGTAGGACTCGTCGTCACTCGTCCTCCCCCTCCTCGTCCCTCCCCTCCTCGCCCGCTTCTTCGATCTCCCTCCTCGCGCTCCTCCTCGTGATCCCCTCCTCGCCCTCCCCCTCGTCCTCCCCTCTTCGTCCTTTCCCTCGTCGCCCTCCTTCTCCTTCTCCTCTTCCTCGTCCTCCTCTTCGCTCTTCCTCTGAGTAAGGGTAATACAGTCCGAGGAGAACTGCTTGGCAATGGATTTCGCGCTCGCCTGGGGGCAACGTTCTTCGAGGCGTCGCCATGGAGGTTGCAGTGGTACTGACTGCCTTGCGCGAAAGTGCGATGTCCACATTTAGTCCAATGCGTGCGGACGTTTCGGCCCCATTGTTTGCATAGCCTTGCGTTGCATCGGACGTGGTCACATTGCAGCGCGTCGCCTTATACCACAAGCCTCCGGCGCCGAGTGTGTCCTGGCATTGTAGGACCCTTTGAAACGCGCGAATGCGTTCGGCGCCGGGGGTTTCGTGGCATTGTGAGACCATGTGAGAATTGCGGATGGGCTCGGCGCCGAGGGTGTCTGGGCATTGTGAGACCCTGTGAATTGCGCGAATGCGTTCGGTGTTGAGGGTGTCGCGGCTCTGCAAGGGCACTTGAGCCGCGCGGACGTGCTCGGCGCCAGGAGTTTCGGGCCATCGTGAGACCCTTTGAAACGCGCGAATGTGTTCGGCGCCGAGGGTTTCGTGGCACTGCGAGACCATGTGGGAGTTGCGGAATGGCTCGGCGCCGCGGGTTTCGGAACGATTTTGAAGCCTTGAAGACGAGCGGTTGCGTTCGGCGCTGGAGTTTTGTGGCGCTGTGAGACCATGTGAGGCTCGCGGATGTACTCGGCGCCGAGGGTTTCGGGGCGATTTGGAACCCTTCGAGGCGCGCCACTGCGTTCGGCGCCGAGGGTTGCACCTTGAGACAATGTGAGACTCGCGGATGTGCTCAGCGCCGAGAGTTCCGGGCACTTTGAGACCCTTTGAGACTGTTTGAGGCCGCTTTGAGACCTCCATCGGACGCGTATGGTGAGTGAATTTTTACAGTGTCGCGCAGATTTTGAGACTCATCCGACACTCGTTCTTTACACTCGTAAATTTGGGGTCGGACAGTCTCAAGGCGGTTCGAGCGCGGACGGGGCCGCCGCCGAGCGGATGGGGCCGCCGCCCAGGCGCGATCCAAACGGTGCAGCAATTTAGTAATTTGTTTGGCCCACGTCGGCTCGACGTGCGTGCAGCGCTGCATGTGACTGATGGAGGTTGCCGTTGGTATGATGCGTGGTCAAATGCTTCCATGTGAAAAGTGAGGGATTTCGTTTCCAACTTTCTTCTCCGTCTGTAGTAGTCATGGGTGGGATTCGAAGGAATAAGCGCGCGAATGCGATGACGACAGCGGCTTCGACGATGAAGACGGCGGAGGCCTCAGCAGTGGTTGCCGTGGGGTGATCGTTCTGTTCCCAGTGTCGTTTTCGGTCCCAATCCGTCGGTCGGCCCGCGCATGAAATATCTAGTTCCCATTGTAAAACGGGCCTTTATGCAACACCCTTCGCGGTTAATGGCCCGCTAATGCCCCCCCCCAACGGCCCACTACTGGCCCCACTACTTGCCCCGGTAAAGGCCGACTAATACATTTGGCCCACTAGTGGCCCACTACTGATTGCATTCGACCCACAAGTGACTGGGTAATAATTTTTGACATATTAATGGCCCACGAATGATCTTCGAATGGCTCGCTTTTCATCAGTTTTTCCCGACGTCGCGATTGCAGACAATTCGTGCCACATCAGGCGGTCATTGGCGTATCATTAGCCACGTCCGAAGGTACTGTGAGGCAGGGCCCTTCGTGAGCAGGGGGGGTGTAGATATCATGGCCGTGGCCGTGATATCTCCCAAGAATTCTTGGACCCCTGGGTCGCGCATGTCCCTCGCCCTCCCTGGGTCGCGCATGTGCCTCGCGCCATGATTTTCGACCCCCCGCACCCGGGGGGGTCCCGTGACCACCGCTTTGACTGGAGGAAGGATGATGGGCGAGGAAAGAGGGATGATGGGCGGGGCATGCGGGAGGAAGGGGGTAGGAGAGAGGAGGAGGATGGGGAGGATTATGGGCATACTAATGAGGAGGAGGAACATGGTTGATAACAGTTTGGGCATGGAGGAGACAGGGGGAAGGAGGGATGAGGGAGAATGAGGGAGGCATGAAGAGACATTACGAGTAGTCGGAGGGGGATCAGGAGGAAGAGGAGGAGACGGAGGAGGAGCAGGAGGAGGAGGAGGATAATATGGATCTGGATATGGAGATAGAGGAGGAGAAGGGCGAGGGGGAGGAAGAGGGGATGGAGGGGGTACAAGTGAGGCAAAGGGAGGGGAAGCTCGCCGCCCCCCCACCCGCAGGACGACGTGGCCGCGCTGAGGGAGCTGGTGCGCGGAGAGGCGAGCCGATCCGACCCCGCCCTGTGGGGGCTGCTGGCTTTGAGAGGGGGAGGTTCTCGACGGTCAAAGTGCCCGAGGCGCTCGACGGCCTGCTGTCAAAACCCACAGCGTGGAAAGTGGGTAGTTTTGGAGTCCCCCCCCCCCCCTCTCCTGCTCCTGCTTCTCCTCCTGCTCCTCCTCCTGCTCCTACTCCTACTCCTCCTCCTCGGTCGGTCGTGGAACGTGGGTAGTTATGGAACCCCAGATCCCAATGTACTTTAAGCGCCTTCCTACTTCAATGCTCGAGTGGCTTCCCCTCTTCCGTCCTCCTCGGGGGGCGGGCGGACACCCAATCTGCTTTCAACGCCTTCCCACTTCGTGCTTCTACCTACTTTTTCCGACCGATTGGTACGCTTCCCTGGGGGTACCCTCGCATCCTCACGTTGTTCGGCCGCGCGGTGCTCAACAGGCTTCAGCCTGGACGCCCACGCGTCGTGCATCCTTACCGTGCACACTTCATGTCTGGATGTTGGCTATAGTCCCCTGGAGACCACACAGAGGCGCTCCCAAACACATCAGCCCGCCCCCCCCCCCCGCAAGGGCTACCCATTTTGGGCCCTTTCGAGGGCGTACCTGGCCATTATCTTGGCCCTGAACAGGTGGATATGAGGAGACACGATGCGGGAGAAGGAGAAGGAGGAGGAAGAGGAGGAGAAGGAGGAGGAAGAGGAGGAGTAGCCAGTTAGAGCAACTGGGTCGGAGGAGCGCTATCCAGAGTCCGATTCTTTCCGTCCCGACGTTGCCGATGCATCGCCGATGCGTTGGCGATATGGCGCTACCTGGAGCTCGATTGCCTCCATCCCGATGTTGCCGATGCATCTCCGATGCGTCGGCGATGGGGCGCTACATGGAGCCCGATTATCTCCATCCCGACGTTGCCGATGTATCGCCGATGCGTCGGCAATGTGATGCGATCCTCCGACGCCATCCGCGCCGCCCTGATGGTTTTCATCATCGGGGCTCGCCTCCGAGGAGGAGGTCGTCGTGCGATTTCTGATGCCACAGCAGGGAGGGCGTTTGGGCAGCCGCGGCCAGCAGCGGAACAGATGTCTCATCGTGGCGCCGCCTTGGCGTGAGCACTCAGCCTCCAGGGCTCGTGAGAATTGCATCACTCTTGTGAGCCAGGTGCGCCATGCGCGCGGGAGTTGCCAACAGACGAGCCAGGGACGCCCAGCGGTGCGAGGTCTGCTGCCAGGTGCGCAGGGCGCCGGGCGCGCCCCGGGGAGCCCCCGGAGTGCTGCGCGGGCGCGCAGCCGCAAGACCCCCACAATCAGATGCTGATTTAGAGACTCGTGAAATCTGGCTGTCAAGTCAATTCTCATGTCTGAAGAGTACTTCTTGTGGATCCCCCCCTCGGGTAACCTTTATATTTATTCGATCAAAGTGTCTTCCCGGGGCTCGCATTCGGTTTTTTACAAGGGAGACTGGGGTGTCACCAAACTGGCCCCTTGGCCCCGAGTTACAACAACAACAACGGCTCCCGCCTGATATTGTGCTGGCCTCCGGCCAGTGCCGCCGATCCGGGGCGCTCCGGATAATGATGATGATGACGAAGATTATGCTGCTGCTGATGATGATGATGATGATGATGCTGATGTTGCTGATGATGACGATGAAGATGATGATGTTGATGATGCTGATGGTTTGTTGATGATTATGATTGTGATGATGATAATGATTATGCTGATGCTGATGCTGATGCTGCTGCTGATGCTGATGGTGATGGTGATGACGATAATGCTGATGATGCTGATGATGATGATGCTGATGATGATGATGATGCTGCTGATGATGATGCTGCTGCTGCTGATGCTGATGCTGATGTTGATGATGATGATGATGCTGATGATGATGATGATGATGATGATGATGCTGATGATGATGATGATG